CTGCAGGATGGCTCTTTTGTGGGTAGTATAGATGGAGAGGAATAGAAGGATTTTTCACAGTAGTAAGGGGTAGGGTAGAAGAGCTTTTGGAGAGGATGAGATTTTTGTCTCCACTTTGGGCTTCTGCTTCATCAGAGTTCAAGGACCCTTCACTCTCTTCTATTCTGCTAGGCTGGAAGATATCTATTGGATAACTCCTCTGTTATATTTTCATTTGGGATTCTTCACTCTTTTTTATACTAGATTGGAAGGAAGCTTTTGGTTAGTTTCTTTATTGTAATCAGTTGTATTTTGTTCGTTGGCGGACTCCTTGTTCACTTTCTTGTACCCTTTTAATTTTTTTAACTGTTTCTTCTATAAAATAAAATAAAAAGTGTTCCAAGCATTAGTAAAAATAATTAACATACCTTGAGACTGATGACATTATCACGCATGGTTCCATACCTACATGCTAAAAACAAAATCATTAAAATGAAAAGTAAACCAGACCCAATAAGCCAAAATTTACATGCTAAGACCTCAAACATATCCGCCCAAACATAAGATTAAAGAAAAGAAATACAACCACCACAGGAATCAGTAGCTTGAACATTAAGTCACAGAGAGAGAGAGAGAGAGAGAGAGAGAGAGAGAGAGAGAGAGAGGGAGAGGCCCAGGGCACGTAAAGAGGTCCTAAATAAAGTGGACAGCAGGGCAGCTAATGTTGGAGGAGACATGTGACAAAATCTACCATTCATCTTCAAAATTTACCAGATCTCATTGATGTTATTATGAGTTTCTTGTAAAACACGTATTTATGCCTAAGTAATGATAAAGGATATCACACGACACATATCAAGAAGAACGGGTAGAGCTAGGGTGACAGCATCATATGTGCTTAAACCAATAACTTCCATAAGACACTTAATTAGGTGCTAATTTAAAGAGTTTCTTATATAAAGGTTAAAGCTCAGTCAAAGGCCTTGTATATTAGCACTAAAAAATGCATTTATTCAATGAAGTTTAATTAACCAGTAAATAAACAGAAAGCAATCTCACATGTGATGAGTCAAAAGATATTGAGTGGATCCCAAAATTAAAAGCTAAAAGAGCAGAATAACTACCTAACAGCTAAGGATCCGGAGCAACGTGTAGCACACATTCCTCCAATTGTTGCACCAGGCCCTGCTAGTCAACAATGGTGAAATACATGAAAATGGAAATAGCACAATTTACTTAAGAGAAAGAGAAAGGACACCTTACGGAGGAATGAAATACATCAAGACATAATCTTTACCTTAAAAAAACATCAAACATAGTATAGTACTTAGTTACTTAAGGAGTTTCTCCTCAAATTTCATGCATATAAGTCAAATGGTTATATGGAAACACCAAAAAAGTAGCACTTTTAAACAAAAGCTTTCAAGCTCATTGAAAATACATATCAAACTTGAATTAGGAAACTGATGATAACACATACCTTGATGATGGAAACAAAACAATGTTCCAGGTAAGGTTTTTTGGTTAGCTCAAATGTCAAGTAAACACCACTATATTGTAATTATTTGACTTGGTTCCAACTTGACCTTAGAAAGAGAAGGTACTAGGGTCAACCTATGAGTAGGTTGCTCATTTAAAGCAAATTTAAACGGTGTATATAACCAAATCATATAGATAACAACCACCAAATACCTGCAAATTAAGAACCAGATAATGCTTTAACACATGCATTGCATTCATACAGCTTCTGACGCCATGTTTTATACATAATGCACCACTAGAATGCATTTGAAAAGAAAAAAAAATTCTTCAAACAGTGTATCAAATAAACTTGAAAAACAATTAATACATCCAGTGGATACATTACAGTGTTTGATATGACCAATAACCATTACCCAAAAAGAAAAAACTAACTAACCTGGATCAAGGGGAAAGAATAGACCATAAGGCTCCAGGTATTCATTAAGCTCCATCCATCCAACCCCAGGCTCAACAACCACATCCATGTCCTCAACATGTAATGCTTTAACGTGCTAAAATTTGAAAATTTTGAGGAATATAAGCATGACAGTAGAAAAGAAAATTGTCCGCAGAGGGATATGAATTAGACACATTCATAATTTAATTTAAGCCAGTCTATAAACTCTGCTGCTAATCCCAATATTAGAAGGAAATAGGTGAAGCATGTTACACAGACAGTATTGATTCCAGATCTGTTATGCATTCAAAACTGAAGAAAACTTGGAACTTTATTAGGATGATGCACTGAAGCAACAAGTTGAGAGATTTAAAGGTTAACCATTTTACAATCTTGCTAGTTGCATACTGAACCTCAAGTTACAAAAGGCAGTTACTATTATGAGCCTTACTTATTGCGAAAAATCAGGACTGACAGTAGACCAGAATTGGCAGGTGAAGAATATTTTAATTGTGAAAAATAAAAGTTTTAATACTAAATCACACTCGGTGCATATACATACATTCATTAATGACATGTCTATGCAAACACCTCCATTGGGAGACAAGGTGTGACCCTCAATTGATGTGGCTCCACCATATGGTACAATGGGAACCTGATTTACATATAAAAGCAAAAGCAGTTAGTACTTTTTAAGGTAAATTTAATTGTCCAACACCAGTGAAATTAGAAAGCAAAATACACAAGATCAGATATGTGCTTCTTCACGTATTGTTTTCAATCACAAAGTTCATGTGTGAATTATATTCACTACATTATTGGGTTCACAATCCCAAGAGAAAAGTGAAATTTTAAACATTCAAAAGCACAACAAGTAACACGGATTAAAAGAAAACAAAGAGGGTAGAAAATCATAAAATTTATGAAGGAAGGAGAATTTCAGACCTTATGCTTGTCACATGACTTGACTATCTTAGAAACTTGCTCTTCAGACCTGAAAATTATGAATCATCTGTGGTGAAGATTGGAATTACAGACATAATAATATTTAGACGGCATATTTTCCTGTGAAAACTATCATCACATGTTGAAGAGTCTTCATTCTTAAGTTGACAGAACCACCAAGGGAAAACAAAAGAAGCATAAAGGAAAATCTTTATGGCATTGAAGTGGAGGTGAAGCATGACTCTCACCTAGGGAAAACAACAACGTCAGGAATATTAACTGCTTTGTGAAAGCTGTTCTGTGGTTTTCCATGGTTATACCTCTCCTCATAATCCAGTGTCATATTATCCTACACAACCAGATACCATTATCAATATTATCATAATCCCATCTAAAAAAACAGCAGGGGTTTTCAAACTGAAGAAAGAAAACAATGAATTGAACAGATTGCCAAATTGGGTAAATGCAATACTTGACAAATAGCCTTCAATTCATCAATAAGCTCTCGGGGGACTTCCTTGTGCGAGCCTTTAACCACAAACTCGGCGCTATTGGACCAAAAATACAGAGTCTTTAAATAAATATTTAAACAAAATAACACAAATGTGATTGAAATGAAAGAAAGTTACCGAGAATGGACACTGGAAGCTTCGCAGAATGATGGGTCTGATTGGGGATGGAGGGCAAGTGATCCAGCTGAGACTGCGAGAGCGATTGGAAGCAGCGAGCTCGACCAGAATAAAAATGGGTTTTTTGTGCTCTCAGAGTTTGTGGTTGTTTGAGTTCTGACAAGCTTGCGGGACACTGAGGTTCGTAGAGCCAAAGAGTTGAAGAAGCACTTTGAGGAACAGCGTAGGCGAGAGAACCACGACGACATTGCCATGGTGGATGTTAGAGAGAGAGAGAGAGAGAGAGAGAGAGAGAGAGAGAGAGAATGGACGGTGCTTGAGTGTTTGATCAAATGCTTGGTTTCGACCAAAAAGAAAAAAGATATCAAATGCTTGGTCTTGGTGATTACTTTATATGAATTTGATAGAACACACGAACTGGACTTCGTTTTGCCTGACCACTGAGCTCAATACAAAGATGTCAAAACACTTGGATTTTAGCATGGTAGGAGGGCCACTAACAGTAACATTTTATTATAAAAGTGACAAATGAATCCAATCACTGTGACAAATGAATGTCTAATTACTCTATTATTTTATTATAAAAGTGAACAAGGTTAAAAAAAAATCTGCAAGAAGTATAAGATTATCTTTCTTTTTCAAACCATCTTAGAATGAAGTTTAACCCTAAAATTGAGAGAAATTATTGTATGATATTTGAGTATCGGACATGTGATGATATAATTTGGTCTTAAAATATAGGTGAAAGAAAGGGTTAATATTTTTTACTTTTAAAGTATAATATATTCACTTATATTATAACACATAAAATTCTCAAAAATATATAATTTTCTTCGTTTATAAGTAAATAATGTATTTATTAACACATTCATCAGTAATGGAAGTCAGAAAGTGCATATAAATGATGATAATAACAATAATATCCATTTTATCAGAAAGTGCATATTTATTAACACACTCATCGGTTCAATGTTAGTTTCTTATTCTTGGGATGTTTTGCTTTTAAATGATCATAATAATAATAATATCCATTTTGTAATACGTGATTGAGATTTTGATGCCTTTTTTTTTCCCACCTTTCTGTTTACAGGTTGCATATAAATTTTGCTTTCTTTGAATTACATAGTAAAACTTACCCAAAAGAAGAAAAAAGAAGTTCTGGAATGTCTCCTCCATTTAAGCAGAAACCAAGCCGATGTAATGTAAGTGTAACCTAATGAAAATATCCACCATTCGACAAAATCTAAAATCTAATTTCCTCTTTAAAGCATACAATTTAGTGCTCTTTTCTTTCTTTGCTTACACAAATTCGAAGGTCTGTGCTCACATATCACTTCAGTTAAGGCTCACGGGCCAAACAATTTTTATTTGAAACACTTGAAAGACTTGAAAGACAAGTCATGTATGCTAAGAAGATCTAATTTTCCTAACATGTCAATGAATAAACTAAGAAGGATGATCTTTCTAAACCGATGCATTTTGCAGCTTCCACAGCTTTATTGGGTAAGATAGGAGCTCCCGTTGATCGATCAATACACTGCATATTTGGCTTGTAAATCCCAAAACTCCTTACTTTGCTTCAGTATCTCTGCACGTTCTGCAGTATACCTCTCTTTCCAGTAGTCTTTGCACCTGTGAAAGGTTTTCTTAGGAGTCAAAATTTGTTGACCTTTCTCATATTAACTTTAGAACAATGGAGGTTTCAGTTTATTCACCTTATTTTCAGGAGCAGATCTAGTTCCAACATGTGCACTGCTTTAGCATACACTCCGGCCTGCATTAGAGGAGAATAGGAACTTAAGATCAAACAGTTTAAGATATGAAACTTCAAAAAAAAAATTATTTTATTTTAATCAATGAGATAATGAAGCTTACAAAATGAGAAAACTCGAGTTAAAGAAAGATCAAACATCAAAATCAAGTGAGAATATCATATGTTTGATGCACAGCAAGAGAACGTTATCCGATAGATCGTATTTTAAAATAGTTTCATTGTGCATATATTTCCAAGGGCTAGATTCTGCTAATGATAGATGAGAAATAGAAGGACATAGTTCTCACTCAAATGCAAAGTTGGAAGATATATTTGGACAGAACTTCAATAATTTTAGCATTTACGTTATAAATCCTGCTATTAAACCTTGCACCCTTTAACTAAAGATATACTTGTGGAGAATGTTATGAATATGTTTGTATAGTTTAAAAGTATATATATATATATATATATATATATATATATATTAACAAAGAAAAGGGGGCTTGGATTATCACCAACCTCTCTGCATATTGGGCACTTTGCATCCAGGGCTGCAGATTTAGGGCCTTGGAAGATAAACACAGAAGCAGCTGAGCAAGCACAAGACTTGCAGAAAAGGTGGCCGCAGCTCAAAGCATATGGATTGAAAACAGTTTCCTGTGAGATCAAATACACATCAGAACACCTATGTACAAATGCCAACTTTTTATCCTTCAGAATGCAACTGAAAGTAAGACCTTACCAAGCATACAGCACAAGTCAGATCATATTCCATCTTCAAGGAGTCAGGAAGCATCAATGTCATTATAGGTGGTGTCGCATCAAGATCACAAGAGAAGTGACCAGAAAGTTCATTGAGGCCTTCACCATCTGATCCATGAAGATTCAAAGAAAAAGCACCCAATTCTATAAGCCAAGGTGATTGCAAAAGCTCGATATGTTCAGCCCGCATCTTGGATTTGAAAATCTTGCCATTTTCAGAGCTATGTACCTGTAGTAGAAGATTTAAAACAAAGAAGGTCATTGTTAGATACAGAGCAGTATCAACCAAGTTAGAGAGAAAATAAATATTGACCAGTCTGGTGCATACTTTATCATATTTCTTAAGGATTTTTCTGATAGCAATTGCGTTCATTGTAACATATTCTATCAGCATCTGCCCTTTTCTACCATCGCTTGCTGATCATTCATAAAACATTGACGCAACCTCAGTAAGTATCTCTGCATTCCAGTAGCAACATGGAGATGGAGGAGATGTCTGACTCTCAAACTGAAGCATAGAGCTATGTCTGAAACTTCCTTCATTAACTCTGTGAAGAATGCCTGATCACACGCTGCGACATAGAAAATTGAGATTAGATAAGACTACGAGCTTTACTCTTAGTAAGCAACAATACTAATAGGCCTTCCATGTTTTGAATGAACATAAACTCTTGAATGCTTTTTTTTAAGACAAGAACACCGATAACAAATAAGTCTTACAAAATAGGCCTCAAACTTCTAAGCTTACATTAATTGTCACTATAAAAGGGATCCAAAATTTTGAATTTTGAAAACTTAAATGACCACCGAATGGTAACGGTCATTATTTTGAAGTGGGACTATGAGAAGCATTGATTAGAAATGCTATACACGTAAACTCATTCTATAGAAACATCTTTTAAGGAATAAGAAAATGAAGTAGGAAAGGATAACAGGGCAAGATCGCACATTCTTTAAAAAATCAAATCTTGTAAGCGCGATCGCACACATGCACTTGTACAACAACATAACTATGGTCAAACAAAAGTTCAAAAAGGGGCCAAAGCACAAAAACAGCATGGTTTAAGCCTATGATTTCTTCAAAAACTCTGAGCAGAATGTAGCTACCTGAACTAAGCAATTGGGTAAATCTCAACCTCAGTCTTTAAACCCTGCAACCTTGATGATGACAAAAATCAAACACAGGTTTCCTACAGTTGTTAAACACACTCAAATAGTTGTTTTCCTACCAGGTAACATAGTATCTGTGATCCTTTTGCTCATTGAAAATTGCACACTCCACAAATCCAATTGAACCACAGAAAAACAATTAAAACCATCATTCACATTATCATATTGTATCATCAACATTAGGTTAATAAGCTTCATTCAAACAGAACTAAAAACAAACACAAAAAGTGCAAAAACAAAATAGATAGGAAATCAATTCTTACCAGGGCAAGATTGACATTGACACAACTGTTTATTTTGATTAGCAGCACCTTCTTGTTGATCAGCGGTTGAAGCTTCTTGCAATGTCTTACAACTCTGACAAGTCTTGAGGACTTTCTTCAGCCGCTTATACTCGACATGCGAGCACTTCTCCGAGAATCGTACTTCTTCCTTATGCAGAAACTCCGTATAAGTATCTCCGAATTTCATATTTCCCCAGTCGAAAATTAACCTAAATTAGTCCGGCTTCTTATACCCTAAAATTGGCTGAAATAGTCGGAAAAATAAACAAATAAATAAAAATTGAAGCTTTTTTTAGTAAGAAGAGAATAAAGGAGGAGATGGAAGAATGTTCTCGGAGTGTCTGAGCTCGCAATTGCAATGCTCAACACACTCTTTGCATTTTTCTTTTGTTTTCCTTTCTTCTTCTCAATTTTCTGGGGAAACAAACGGGAGGGGTGTTAAGAAAAAGGAAATCTGAGTGGTGGCCACTTGTTTCCAGACGAAGTACACGGAAGTGGAAGATCGTTTTTAAACGGCGAAGTCCCCGCGCTTTTTTCGGGGGGTTTTGAAGAAAAACACCAAAAGGGACATATGGTATATACGTCAGCGCCAGCACCACACCAAATACGGCCGTAAGACAAACGGCTGTTGTGAAATACGTGTAGAAAAGGGAGCCTCTTGGCGTCCAGCTGCTAGTTTGACCATTTGACCAACAAAATTGTAGGCTTTCTAGCTGTTACTTGACTAGAAAAGTTACTTGCTTAAAATACATGTGACGGTTTAGGCCCCGTTCGGTTCATTAAATAAATTTGAGGGGAAATCATTTTTCATGTCATTTCCTAAATAATGGGAAATGGAATATTCATTTATCATGTTTGGTAATGCAGGGAAAGTAATCGAGAGATATCATTTTATTTCTTTTCCTATGTTTGTTTTGAGTATGAATGAAAAACAAAGTTTGTATAAGTTTTCAATTATACCCATATTAAATCAAATAAAAAAAGAATGTGTTTAATGATTTATTGTAATTCTAAATTGTTAATGAGGACAAAATTGTCATGAAAAATATTTATTTAATATTGGCTCAGTTTCCCAAACTTTCTCATGATGAGGGAAAACAAAATCCAAATTGAGAGAATGGCTTCACTTTCCTCCTTACTTTCCCATGAGCTAAGAAACGATTTCCTATGCCTGGACTTACCAAACATGGGAAAGCAATTGATTTCCTATGTCCAAGTCTCATTTCCCATGAACCAAATGGGTTAGGATTTAGGGTTTAAGGCAATACTATTAACAGTACTAAAATGAATTGTTATATATAATTCAACGAGTGATTTAGTTGTTTGAAAATAAAATGTAATTTTATTCATTTAACTAAAAATTATTTTATAATTATTTTTAGGGGATTTTGAAAAACTTTGTTGCAACGTGGAGGAAGGCATCACCTCCCTCCCATTCATTCCCCTTTCCCTCAAGTCTTCAAATCAAATGAAGATTTGCTTTAAATGATAAGATGAAGTGTAAGTCTAGGGAGATGAGTCACTTAAGCTAGGGTTATGAGCGAGGTCTAAAATATCGATGATTTCGAAAATATCGGTGGTCTAAAAATACTGAAATTTTAATGGAAATATTCAGGAAATTATCGATATCGAAAAAAATATTGAATAAAAATTATGGAAATTGTAACAAAAATTTGAAATTTTTTATTGAAACTTTGGATGATGTTTATTTAGTTAATTATCTATTACTTTATCACAAAAAATTGGAAGGAAATGCATTGCATGATGGATTTAATCAATTTAAGTTGATTATATAAACAAACACTGCGAGTGTAGAAAATATGTAGTAATTAATGAAAGAATATTGAACACACCATAATTATTATTTATAATGATTTACTACAATATTTTATACTTTATACATTGCATGGTAAAATACATGAGTGACTTAGTACCACATAGAGTTCGTATAAGGTTCAAATTTGAGTTATTTACACTAACACCCCCTGAGGTTTTCGACTTTTTCACAAAACTCCTTGAGGTTTTAGAAATTACACAAACAGCCCCTGAGGTTTTAAATTGTTTTCACAAAACTCTTTTTCATTGATTTTTCATCCAAAAATTGATGATTTTATACAAAACAATTCTCCAAATTACAAAGTTGAGATTAGATTGCATATACTTCATTGAGGTTAATTTTATCATTTGCATAAGCTTTTTTTTTTCAATGAAATCATCAATTTTTGGACAAAAAATCAACAAAAGGGAGTTTTGTGAAAACAAATTGAAACCTCAAGGGGTGTTCGTGTAATTTTTGAGACCTTAGGGGTTTTTTTTGAAAACACAAGAAACCTCAGGGGGTGTTAGTGTAAATTACTCTTCAAATTTTTCACTATCATCATCATCTAGCGATATTTTGGCCAAATGTTGTTGAAGCGTGTGAAAAATTATTGACATCAATATTTTCCGATATTATCGATAATTATATGATATGTGTATGAACATGTTCCAAAATATCCTATACCCAAAAAAACGATAATATCGGTGATATTTTAATCCTTGATTATGAGTCATCTAGCCTATGAATTTAGTAATGATGAGATTCATCTCATTTAGTTAGAATGAGTTAGATTAATGGAAATGGGAAGATAGTAAGCCTATCTCCAAACATGGGGTCAAACCCAAATAATCTATTTTTTAAGCCTAAAATCATCTCTAACCCATGTATAGCGAGGGGTGAAAATTTGGGTTGACTGATAATCTGGGTGAAATACCAGTCCAGTGTTCAGTCCAGGGGAAAAGTTTGGTGGAGCCCAAGTACACAAAAGCTAAAGCCCAAGTGAGGCAAAAAAGAAGAATGGGTTAGCCTCTCCGCCTTATAATGGGACGCGTGTTGCGCATGGCCATTTAGCCATTGCAATCCAACAACCAGCAAAAGAGGCGCATGTTTGACATATATATATATTTTTTTTTCAAAATTTAAGTCCAACGGCTAGGATTAAAAGTTGGCTATTTTAACGTGAAAAAATATATCCAACTACTGAAATTAAAATCCAATTGTTAAATAAAAATAAATTATTCTAAATTAGATCCAACCCCAAAACACATCTTAAGTTCTATAAATACTCATCCATTTGTTACATAAATACTCATATTTTGGAATTTGAATTTTTTAGGTTAAACTATTTAGAAAATTAAATCACGAATGTTTAAATAAAAATATTGTCAAGAAAAATTAACCACATAAAAAATTAGGGATTAATCATTCTTAAACAATTTAATAAAGTTGTGGACTCAAATTATAAGTCTACATGGCTGGAGAAAAAAATTGTTTGAGTCCGAGCAATACATGAATAGTTGTATTTTAAATGGTGGAAATTTGAGTTTAGCCACGACATAGTTGGAGATGGTCTAAGAGAGAGGAAAAATTTGAGGAAAAGCTTGGAATAAAAAGATAGAAATGAAATCGTCACTCATGTTTATCATTCTGAAACTTCCATTTTTTTTACTCAAATGAAAATGATTTCTTCATCAAAGTTGTTTGTCTGCTCAAATCCTAGAACATATCAAAAATTCAACTCAATCACATAACCACAACTTTAGAAAATCTTTACGCTCATTACTGTCTGTTATGTAGTAACAGAAAAATACTTTTACACTAGTCTTTATTATGTAGTAACAATTAAAGTGCTTCTTCACTCAGCATTCTTTCTTATGCAGTAACATTGTAGTGTTTTTGCACCCAGTATCTTCAGCAACAAAAAAACCTCTTTATCTTCAACAACAAATACATACAAGTCCTAGGCTCCTCTACTCCACCGAAGACAAAGCCATATTTGAATTGCTTTTGTCTTCTTGTGCCTTGTAATTGTTTGGTTGTTTTGCATATGACTCTCTTGAGGAGTGTATCTTTTTGCTTTACGTTTTTTTAGTGTTTTTTTTTCTTTATCTTTGTGTGCATGTGATGAAGGTGGTGTGAATTGTTTGTATGAGTGCATGTGAAGTGGTGTGAATTGTTTGTATGTGTGCATGTGAACATGATGGAAACATGAGATGAACAAGAATTTCCTAACAAGCACAAGCAGCCATAATGAAGCCGTAGCAGCATCATGAGGTCATGTGAAGATATCATAATTGTAAGTGTATGCATTTTGTAATTTTCTTTTGGCATCCCTTGACAATTTTGTAATAGGACAATCATTGTATTTTCTCAAGCTCTAGTTTAGATTAAGAATTACATCTCTAAGTGTTCTTATCTGGTTGCATTATGATGAACAACAATGTGTTTGACAAAGGTAGGTTTTGCATTGCATTAACTAAATTCCTGAAAATTATGACCAGTCATCTTTCTTTCATATGACTTGTCAACTTTTGTATTGTTAGAATTTCCAGCTCACTGTTTTCAGCTAGACCCTACCCATTTATTTTTGTCCTATTCTGCGAAATTCTCTACTGCCTTGTACGATTCTAACCTAGGAATTTTGGTGTAAAAACAACAGCATTCCTCATTTGGCAGCCGTCACTTTGGTAGGCAAGTTTTGGAAAGTTTCTTTGCAAACTTTCTCTTCTTCCTCAAGTGTAACATTCATATTTTTCATCTTTGATTTTTCCAAATTGTTTCTTTTTGAAAAACTGCATTTGAATATGAAAACCTCATCTTGCTAGATTAAACACTCTCTCATATATTTCTAGGTCATATTCAAGATTGATTTCTTCAATAGTATGGTTTCTTGAAGAAATTGGTCATTCTCCCTTTGAATCCAAATTTCGTTCTTGTTCAAGTTGGAGCTAGTCAGCTGGTGCCATGGGATTAAAAAGCTGAAGAAGGAGCTGTCGTTGCCATGAAGACCTAAGTTGCTGGTTTTGCTAAGTTGGAGAAGAAAATTGCACAAATGAGGTAAAGCTCATCTCCTAAATAGACCTAGGATTTCTTGAGCTTGCGAGCGTTTCTTTGTAAGAATAATTTTTCTTAGTGGATTGCTTGGTCGGTTGATGACCCCTAGTTTTTCCCAATGGTGGGTTTCTAGGTGAACAATTTATGGTTTGCATCTCTGTAATTTTCTGGGTTTAAGTTCTTGATAGTTGACTAGTTATCACATGATGTTCATGTATTTTTGGGTTTGTGTTCTTGCAATTGCCTAGTCATCATTTCCTGTTGTTTAATTTTTACTTGATTATGATGTCTTCACATACTTTCACCATAGTTAT